CAGGCCGGGACGCGCCGGCTGAGAAAAACCAGAGAGCCATCAAAGCGGCCGGAGCTCCTGGAGGGAGGGGCAGGATCCGGCATCTTTGGCCTCCCTCCACGCTTTGTGCCTGACAATGGGTCGGCACCACGACTAATGCGCTCTCGTTAACTGCTCCCCTAGATCTGGGCTGGGAGAAGATGGCCACGCCGGCCAGGCCGCTCCCCGTAGCCTTTTTTGGCCGGGAGGAAACGCCAGCGAGGAGCCCAAGTGCGTCTTCAACGAGGAGTTCAAGTTCATCCTGCTGCCCGTCTCCTACGGCCTCGTCTTCGTGGTCGGGTTGCTCCTCAACTCCTGGGCCTTGTGGATGTTCGTCTCCAGGATGAGGCCCTGGAACGCCACCACCACCTACATGTTCCACCTGGCCGTCTCCGACACCCTCTACGTCCTCTCCCTCCCCACCCTCGTCTACTACTACGCCGACCGCAACAACTGGCCCTTTGGGAAGTGGCTCTGCAAGATCGTGCGCTTCCTCTTCTACGCCAACCTCTACAGCAGCATCCTCTTCCTCACCTGCATCAGCGTCCACCGCTACGTGGGCATCTGCCACCCCATCCGCTCCCTCAAGTGGGTGAAGACCAAGCACGCCCGCCTCATCTGCGTGGGCGTCTGGCTCGTCGTCACCGTCTGCCTCATCCCCAACCTCATCTTCGTCACCACCAGCTCCAAGGGCAACAGCACCCTGTGCCACGACACCACCAAGCCCGAGGAGTTCGACCATTACGTGCACTACAGCTCCTCCATCATGGCCCTCCTCTTCGGGGTCCCTTTCCTGGTGATCGTCCTGTGCTACTGCCTGATGGCCAAGAGGCTCTGCAAGCCCAGCGTCTCCAGCCCCACCCCCCAGATGCCCTCCTACAAGAGGCGCTCCATCAAGATGATCGTCGTCGTGCTCGCCGTCTTTGCCATCTGCTTCGTGCCCTTCCACGTCACCCGCACCATCTACTACACCTCCCGCTACTTCCAAGCCGACTGCAGGACCCTCAACATCATCAACTTCACCTACAAGATCACCCGGCCCCTGGCCAGCATCAACAGCTGCCTCGACCCCATCTTGTACTTCATGGTGGGGGACAAGTTCCGGGGGCGGCTGCGCCGTGGCCTCGGCCGGCGCCTCCAGCCCGTGCCCACCAGCAACTTGTCCCTGGTGGCCCCTCCCCTGGACCACGCTGACACCCGGGGGGTGGGGACAGCACAGGGCACAGACGGGTGCTGAAGGGTCAGAGGGTTCCAGTAACCTCACCCCTCTGGCACCCCCAGACCTGACCTGCCCCCCGTGGGGGTGGAAACTGCAAGGCTGAGGGCCGCTGGCCATGGGGCTCGCTGCAGCCCTGCCCTGGGGTGCCAGGGGAGAAGGATGCCGGTGCTGCCGGGCACCCCTGGGAATGGGAAGGATGCCCAGAAAGCCATTTTGGGGAGCCAGGCTGGTGCCCCATCCCAGGGAGCTCCTGGGGGCAGATGAGAGCTGGCAGGTCACTGAGGAGAAGGGACGCTGGTCCCTCCCTGGGCATGCAGGGCCCCTCCAGTCTGCTCAGCGTGCAGAGACTGGCTGAACCTGGGGACAATGCCAACGTTGGGCCTCCTAGATTCTTGGCAGAGGTCCTCACAGATGCCCCTGTCACACCAAGGGCCTGGGGAGGGACACGGCGTGGGGCAGTTACGCCCATCACCCCCAATAAAGCCCCTTCCCCTTTACGCTCGGGCCCGTTTCTCCCCAGAGCTGCAGGAAGGGGGATGAGGTGCCCACCTTCGCCCAACCTCAACCCCAGAGGGTGTTTGAGAGCAGACAAAAGCCACCTGCCACCTTAAGGCCAGCACCGGGGCGGGTGTGGGGCGAGGGACCCGAGCGGTGACACCCGCGGTGACGGCAGAGGCCTTGGGAATCTGCCTTCCCCTGTTTGCTTTCCAAATGTTTACCCAGCCCTTTTGTTTGACCAAGTGCCTGCACAGCCAGGAAGGGACCAGAGATGGTTCTCAGCACTGGGGACTCTCCCACGGCAGCCCAGGCAGGGATGGGACAGGGCTGTCCCCACCCCTGGGAGGAGCTGCCCCCTCCACGAGCCCCACCAGCACTTGCCTAAGGTTGGGATGTCCATAGTGCCATTGAGGTGTCACCTCCCCTACGTGGCACCAGCCAAACAGCCCTATCCCACCAGAGCTGCCCAGCTCACCCAGGGAGGGGGAGGCCCCCAACGATGCTGTGCCCCAGCCCCACAACCCCGTCCCACCACAGAGGGGGACCCAGAGAGCCCCCCACTCACCGCTGAGATGAAAGCAGAGA